CCAAAGAAACGTCTATGAATATATGTATATTAAACGACCAAATATCCGGAATTGAAATCTCAGTAGAGCATGATAAAAACAGACATGTTTGCAGGCAATACATTGTTTTTATTAAGCAAAACCGTTGTTATGCACCCTATATATTGAGGTTCTCTTCTACACTCACTGCGCACGGTTGCTCTTGTAGTGTACCGGTACACGTATTGTTGCGTTTTACTGATAGAAATAAAGCGCTGATGTGGAGAAATTGAGGGGCAACTAAAATCCATCTGAAGTGCATCTGTTCATACATTTTATTCATTTTTACTTTCAACACAAACACGTTTGCAATATGGATTTCATACCAGACCCTTTCGTTTGTATTCTTTTATAACTGCATATTAGGAGTATGACATCACCATGCCCAACCCAAGGTACTGCTATTTTATGCCCTTGTGGTATACGTGACAAATGAGAAAAGTTCGCTCCCACAGGAATTCTGTCAACTTGCGCTATGCAGTGTCAAATCTTGATGAACACACCTCTCCTGTGCATGTAGAAAGCGACAAGGACCCAGAACGCAGCACTCCAGAGGTCCAGGGCGAGACGGGCACCGTGGTTCTCGGGAATCTCAAAGCGAATGGGGAAGCTCCGAGAAAAAGCCGAGTGGCCCACATACAGAACTATGGCATTCATACCTGGGAATCAAAAGTCATTTGAAAAGAACAAAAGTAATTTTTAAATTAAAAGATGCTATGAATTTGGTTAATTACAATAAAACAAAGTAGCTTTCACAAGTTCAATTTCATTAGTAAGTTATTTGATTCCAACAAAACTTCCATCATGTTTTTATTTCTGTAGAATCGGCATTGGTATTGTAGCGAGAAATGTTTTTAAGGAGAAAACCGAGACTGGCTTCATGAATAATGTCACATAATTTTATTTCTTATTGTGACATTCATTGATATTCATTGATAAATGAAATAGAGAAAACTTTTATAGAAATGGTGTAATGCAGACTTTACCAGGATAGAAGAAGGGAGCCCCAGTCCAGATGTGGAACATATCAATAAGTATATAACACGCAGCCAGAAGTAGGTATGCCATTGCTGCCAGTGCCAGCACATAAGATACTGACCTAGGAGGTGTGATCAAATGTTACATATGAAATGGAATCATCTTTATTTAAAAAAATAGTGTTTTTGAGCATTTAATGTGTCTTATATTGTGGGCTACCTCAAATGTTCCTTGGGGGCATCTGTTGTGAATTCGAAAGGAGTTGCAAACAGATTTGCATTGACAAGATATTGAATGGTTATCCTTCCTTAACAATTTTAATGCTAAATATCTTGTAATCATATATCTACTATCAGTCACAGGCTTACTACAGTTTTAGACTCAACAGTGAAAAACATTTTAAAAGGATTTTAATTACATTCGATGCTTATTATGGCACTCTATGCCAATATAGATATGTCTTTCATTGAAGTGTGTCAAAAGCACAAAAGATGAGATAAGAATTAATGAAACTGAAAACTTTACCACAGATTCTTGTTGATGGGGACCCAGCCTTCATTTTTAGAGCCTTTACATAAAAGCAGTGCAAGTCCTCCCTGTAATAAACAGATCTGAATATCAAGGATTGATATAGATAAGTTGGGGCTATTTTAGTTTTGCGGATATGTGCTAAGAGGGAAAGAGTGACAAATTTAGAAGTAAGGTTTGATTTTGCTATTGTGATTTGTTTGTGAGTGTGGTTCATGCCATTGTGTTAGTTGGAATGGACATTACCGTTATCAGCGCACCAACAATCCAGTGAGCTACACGTTCCATGTGGGATTTGTAAACAAGAAGCACTTTGCCAGCCTGCAAAGTGATTGAGCAAGTTTTTTTGAAAAAATACTTTTGCATCAGTTATAATAAGCCAATCATTATTTAAAAGTTACGAATGATTTTTTTTTTTTTTGACAGTATATCCAGTACATGCTGGGACTATATTTTTTCAATAGTTGTCAACGTGTGAACAGTACTGATCAAATAAATGTCAGTGTGTTATATACATATTCTTACATGAAGTCCAAGGAAGCAGATAACAATAGAAGTGGCCGTCCCTAGAATTCCCTCTGGGTCAAATGGCAGGATGGTTTTATACATCTCCTGTAACCAGTAAGAAATAATATAGAAGAGGAATTAAAAAAGTATTTAGAGTAAGGGAAGCTTCAGTAATGTACACATAATGATATACTGAAAAAATATTCATTGATTCCAATCAAAGGATAAGTGGGATCAAACAAGAGTGTTGCTTTCACTAAGCATACCAAAGTCAATGTGGGTTGGGAAGGAGGGGTTGTCCAAATCAAAATGAGGGTAGGGAATACCCCCCCCCCCCCCTTAAGCACCAATTACCAAGATACGTTCAGGTCAATCATCAATCACCAAGAATCACGTTTCGTGCAGAATATTGGGCTAAAATAATGCATCATACTCGAAAAATAAGGCTAATCACATGGAAAGCAATTGGTATTCCCTACCCTCTAAAATGGACTACCAAGCCATTACATCAGAACATCAGAATGCTCCAAATTTTACCACATATGGCTGCTAGGGTACTGTATACCAACTAATGATGAACCTGTACATACCTTACATGTGGGCCAGTTATATATACGCTCCGCTCCAAGAATCCACCTGTCTATATATCCTGCAATTCCTCCTGTACAGTTGTAATACTTCCCACCATCAGCAAGGCCCCCAGGACCATGGTAGCCTCTGAAATAAATGCCGACTTTTACCAGATTTACTTATAAGTCATTCAATGTGCATTAGATCTTTATATTGCAAAAAAAAAAGAAGAAGAAGAAGAAAATGATAATAATGATACAGTCAGGTAATTTCAATGATTTTATTTTTATTTTATTAAAACTGTAAAAAAATATTATATTAAAATATTTTAACAAATTTTCCAGATGGATCATTGTGATTTTGTGAACAGTTTCAGATATTGTATTCCTTGGTGATTAAGGAAGCAAGCATTTTGAAATTTTCAGATTTTTTTTCTATATGAAGGACAAACTTTAACTGCATACCTCTAAAAGTGTGTACTGCAGTACCTGTTTCATATACCACATTAGATCCAAGTTATTGGTGACTGATACAATCTTAAACGATTTCATTAAACAATGAAAAAAAGCTTTAATTCTACTTCTACAAAGCACAAGATGTTTAGAAGTGATACTGTGTAAATGAAAAGATTGGAAAGTGTGTGGTGCAATAAAGGATTGTGTTAGCTGTGATGGTAGGATATAATGTTTTTTGTATACATACACCTGTAGGTGTAACAATGTGCAGTAGGTCCATTTGGCTTTGTGATGACTTGTTTTGTTACATATAACAGTGTGCACAAGAGACTAATTATAGCAGTCTTCTTTGTGAGTTTTCAAAGGAATCATTGTATTAATTGTGCTATTGATGTATTTGGTGTGATAGCACACATACATACATACATACATACATACATACATTGGACAGTCTGAATCTGGCACCTTAACTCCCAGTGTTATTCCCAGATGCAAGGCAATGAATGCCAGGCAGATTAGCCACTCTGGCCAATATAACACCAGCTCGGTGATGTGATACCAACATGGCTGCTTGAAAAATGGCACAGAAAGTGTTATCATCTACCTCCTTAAGTTACTTCATTAAAATATTTCTTTTATCATTAATTTTTAATATCTTATATTATATTATTAATGTAGCTATTATTCATTTCTTTGTTAACTGATAGTTTAAAAAAGGTTATAAGCCCTTTGAAGGGTTTAAAATAACAATAAAATATGATCACCCTTTTTGCTCTCCCTTCCTCTACCGAAGGATCCAACATGATGTTGGATCCAAGCTCTACTTTGACATTGCTGCTTGATGATGTCTCTATCTCATTAAGCTCATGAGAGGAACCATTCTAGAAAGAAAATAAAATTTTAAGTTGGACTTCTTACAAAATGATAATGGTTTTCACTGTCAGGGGCGGATTTAGGGCGTCTTCTGGGTCTTCCGGAAGACAGTCAGATTTTCAAGTTTTCATTGGCGGGTATCTAATTTTTTTCTGTCGGAAGAGATTATTTCAAGTAAAATACATGTATTATACAGTCTCCCTATATTAATACATTACTTAAGTAGCTGCAGGTCCAGATTGTCAGTGAAGGAGGTTGGGTAGAAGGGCATTCTCTCATTTTCCCCTCAAGCATTTAATACTCCATGAAGAATATGAAACATGGATTGTTCTGTAGGAAGCTGATAAACATTTGTTTTTTAGGGGGAGGGGGAGAGACCAAGGAAGGGCTCTGATGCTCACCACTTTTGGTTTGGAATTCATAAAATATCATCCTTATGGTTATGTTTACTGTCTAGGAAAAAAGATGGTACATTGCAGCCCATAATATGAAATCTAGTAAACACATGAAAAATAACTAGTAGAAATCAACACATCATTTCTAAATAATTTTTGATTTACATCATCTTTAAAATGTGAACTAATTCTTACCTCATCTTTACCGGTCTGCTTCTCTTTATTTTCACTTTTGTGATCCAATTTCTACAAACATATCATGAAAATATTTTCACAACGAATGGAAAAAAATATAGAGAATAGATTACATAAATTTGCTGTTAAGTACTGAATACACATCCTACATCTTTGATGTCCAGTTACAGATTCTGATATTTTTTATTTAATTTTTTAGTTTTCAACCAATGACAGTATCTTCTTCAAAGCACAGAACAATTAGCTATGTAAATCATATTCATTTTTGTCAATGAACATTTCTTCCCTATTCATGAGTTAAAGTAATCCTATCCCAGATTTTTGCCAAATTGAATTTTTCAAAAAAAAAAAAAAAAAAAAAATCATCCTACTCATAAATAATTGCTGATCCATCCCTGCACTTGGATTTAATGTCTTATACAATTTCTAATTAAATAATTTATTTCTAAATGACTGGCGACATTTAGCCTGCCATGTCTTCGAGTACAAACCACAAAACCCTGCATTTGTGCAATATAAACAGCTTTATCCTATAAAGTCATAGCACAAAAAAGTAAAGGCCTACATGTAACTTTCAGATTTCCTAATTGCGTTATAACACTCATCGCCAATGAACCAGCACTTACTCTGGAGAAGACCATGTCAACCAAGCCCACTACAAGGTATGTGGCTGCAAACCTCTGCAGCACACCAGGGATACGAATATTTTCAACTCTGGTCACTACAGTAAAAATCAATATATATGAAATACTGTTCAAAGTTTATGCATGGTAAAACATAATCCCATTAAACAAATGTGCCATATGTTTTACATCACAGATTACAATAAGATAACAGAAGTTTTAAGCAAAAATCATACCTTCTCTCATCACTCTTTACAAATTAAAGAATATCAAGTAGGAGTTACGAAAATAAGTTCTTGATTACTTATACATATTTCCTACCTGCCCACCATGTGTTTCCAACGATGCCCAAGAAGAACAAAGTTATGCTTCTGGTGACAATTTTCTTCAACTGCTTAACATAAGAAACTTCTTTTTTCTTGAGGGAGTGAAATGTCAGTGCCATTGCCGTTCCCATGATAAATACAAACCTTAGGGAATGATAAACATACAAGGGTAACTCCATCTTCATATGTGACTAATATGTGCGGTTACATTTAAACATCAAGCTAATCTTGCTCTACACTGCCTCTCAATTACACTAACATTAACAGGTAAATAAATAAAAATGACACTGACAAAAACAGGTTAAGTATTACACTAATGCATGTAATATGATTCTATATTCATTTATTATATCTATGTACATTCACTAAAATGAAAATCCTTGCTTTCAGTAGCTTTTTCAAACACGAAATAGCAGAATAGGCTACTCTCTGCTGCATCAACTAACATATCACCTCACACACTGCAACATTGTATCTACTTTACCACCAACGCTAAACAATGAAACATGGGCATCTTCACGACACATGGGCTTAACTATATTTACATTTGTGCACTATATCATAACATCAAAGCTAGCTATAATAGAATAAAAATAATTACAAAGTTATTTATTTACCATGGAAAGACGAGATCAGCAAAATTCAACCCGTGCCATATAGCATGTTCCAAAAACCAATATTTTCCGGCTCCAAAGTTCACAAATATCATCAGTGTGATAGATATTCTGAAAAAAAAATTAAGAATAACTTTTGATAGTTTATAGTCATTTTACACTAACAATTATGTATCTATGTGTTTACAGATCGAAGTCAATTTTAGATTTAACCGTTGTTCTAATTCTGCGTTTGCTTTGTATTTTACCGAGAATGCTTTTTAAAAAAGCTATGTATTACTACGCAGGATTATCATCAAGTGTTTCCGTCAATTTATTACATTACCAGAGATCGGAACTGGAGCGCAAAACACATAATTAAGTATAGCATATCTGACACTTTCAGAAGTCTAACGTATAATCCCAATTTTTCCGATTACTGGAAAAGTAAACACCGTCATTCCACGTTGATATGAGATTAATACTTCTGTTTGTTTGAGTGCGTAAGTCGACAGAAAAATTTACTTCGCAATTATACGACTTATTTCTATGTATTGGCGTGGTATGTATTATATCTTTTAGTCTTATGGGTGTTGTCGTTCGTATTTGGCAAACTTTACGGGTTTGGCAAGCGACATTGCATTGTTTTACCGTCGCCTAATATATCGGAAGACGCAACTTTGTACTGAAACAGACTGAACAGTTTGTTCACGTCTTTTCTCACTTTTGCGGCCAACAGATCCTTTCATTGCGGTGGGCGCTTTACGTTCTGGTTTGGGAGAATGTGAGAATGAAATTAAAATAAGTTTAAACTGTTCAGTTTGAACCATATTAAGTATACGCGTCCCAGAGATTATAGAGTTTTTTCTTTTTTTCATTGGGAACAGGTAGTTTCTATCGGTAGTTTGGAAAAGGGGGGTGCAGAATGCTGCCTCCCTCCATAACCCTATTGTGGACGCTTACCCCCTAAAGGTATCAAGAGAGATCAATCTGGTCTTCTGGGCGGCGCTTTTACCTTCTATCAGATCCGACACCTGAAAGATGTGTTTATATGACATACATCAATATATATAAATTAATATCAAATATTTAACATTAAATTTGAAAACTTGTCTTATTCTTTGAATATGAAGGATTGTTGTATATGCTCATAAAATAGATCACGGATTGTGTAAAGTTTTGTTTAACAGGATACATGTTACAACTACAATGCCCAATGCTTATTGTTGGATTCATATTCAAGGAACATATGATGTTTAAAAAAAATCTTTAACAGAATACGCTCACCTCCCTTTTTCTCAGTATTGTTTTTCTTATAAAGGGGCGAACACATTTTCTGAAATTCAAAGTTATTTCAAAATGTAATTCGAGAGATAAAATATAATTAAGTCTTCAATTTTCAGTAACAAAACTGGTCAACAAATGTCTACATTGTTTAACATACAGACGCGCCGATCGAAATTTTTAACCCTTCCTTCTTCCCTACGAAAAAAAAGGAAGAAAAAAGCAGTTATTTTAAAGCGAACAGTGACATTCACCTACCTGTAAATCAAAAGTTTCAGGACTATCCACAATACTGCAAGTCCTACCAGAACGGCCAACGCAATGTAGATGGCTAGAACAGAGAACAGATCATTCCTATTATCAACACGTTGTCTTTTTCGTCAAACAATTAAAGGGGAATGATGCAACCGTTTCCTGATTTGTACCACGGAACAATAACTGAAATTATAGTCTTCCGTCACCATCTGAAGAAGGAACACCCGGAAGGACAATATAATTTCAGTTATTAAAATATTTATCCAGTTTAGAGGCTTGAGACTTGCTATTTCTGATGTATCTTAATTACTATAATATTTGAAAAAAGAAGTGTATAGAAAAAAAATAGTTTAAATCGTCAAAGTTCACACTAAGCATATATTTGTTAAACACTTACGAATTTCACTGTTTTGACCTTCTGCATTTATTTGTAGCTCACAGGTCCCTGCAGTCAAGTTGTCTGGTGACAGGGAGACAACATTTAAAGTATATACGCCGCATTCTGCGTACTTGAAGTATTGACTGAAAAGGAGTACGCGGTTAAACTCAATGCGTAAAATTATTCATTGCATAAAATTGTTGTGTAGGCTTTAAAATTGAATAGAGTTTGCATGGATTGACATAGAGAAAAGAATTACATATAATATTCCATCACTGGCTAATTACCTAAGAGCAACCATCACATACATTCGTCTTTTTACACTATTCATAGTATATAGCTTACAACGCTAGCCAATTTATACTAATCAAAAGAACTCCTACGCACAAGCCCGCCTCCCCTTTTCAAAAGCAAACCCTACCACCTCCTCAACCAGCCCGACAAAAAAGGACAAAAACACGAAAAAAGACACTTTTAAATCACGCACGTGCACACGTTGCGCAAGGCAGACGTCTCCAGTTTCAAAGTCACTGGGAAGTGGGTGCTCACTTGAAAACTAGAGTTGCTTTTTGGCGGTATTATGACAGATGTTTTATCGTCACTAACATACTGGAAGGGGCACTGAAATACAACAATATTATGTCATGTAAATGTCGCAAGACGCACAAATTACGTCATACTCTGAAAAAAAAGCAAAACATGAATTAAACTACTCGCGTCTTTTTTTGTATTTTACGTGCGCTTTTTAATTTTTTTTAAATAAACGTGTGGAATAAAAAATAGGCTTAATGCGTTGTAACATCAAAATAATTTAACTCCACTATGTTAACTCCTTATACTGAAAAAAAAACGTAATCAATGAAACAGGTAATGTTCAACCATACCTTGTAGCATTCGTCACTTATAAATGATAGTGTTAAATTCTCATCCACGGCTGATGTCACAACTAGTAGTGACGTATCCATGACACAATCTCGTAACGGTGACATCCAGGGCTTCACAGTTCCTGTAACATTACTACTTACATTTAAGATCAGAAACAGTGATTAACAGACATATTATTGATAACCAGAGCGTATTTTTCTTTTTTTTTTTAAATCATCCTATTTGCACTAACAAGTAAACCGCGGTCCAGTAAACCCCGATAAAGCTGCGGTTAAGCGTGAACCGCGGACGAAATTGCCAGTGCGAATAGTTATTTATGTCGCTGAATATGCCCCATACATCTACTACATACCGGTATCTTACGCTACAATAATACACAGCAGGCCCGTAGCCAGGGGGGGTTCGGGGGGGGGGGGGGTTCGAAAGAACCGCCCTATTTTGTCAGGAAAAGGTCCACTCTGAGCAAAATCTGAGCTAGATACACAAAGGTTTCATTGTAAAAGGTCCACTTTTTTTTGGAAAAAGAACCCCCCTTTTGAAATTGTTGGCTACAGGCCTGCACAGGCCTGATATGTAAAAGTTTTGGTATTTTGCCCATAGGGACCTAAATGATACAACACACAATCGGCACAGAAAATGGACCAGTGGTTGGGTCTGTCAGTCAGCCGTCCGTCTGTCTGTCTGTCTGTCTGGCTGGCTGGCTGGCTGGCTGTTATGCATTCCTGTAATTGTTTATACATAGTAATATGTCCCTCCGCTTTGCCCTGGAGGTGTGATGCATTACCAGCAGTTTTGTAGAGAAACGCCGTTCCACCATGGCATTTAGGCCGTAGGTTTAGCTAGGCCTATCCATTACTATGCTGCTCATTTCTAGTCAAACAAGATAACACTCAACTAGCATTGCTGCGTTGCATACGTTTGCGCGCTTTATAAGCAGTTTTATGTACTAAGTCACGACACTTATGGAAGGCCTGTTTATCAGATATCTAGTCTTTCTGTCCCAGTTTTGTTTCATGCGGTAGCTACGCCGGTTTCATGGGAAAAATCGGGAATAAATTGAAACAGACATACGGACCTTCATAAATCATTATCTACACTGTAGAAAGAAATACGGATCGCTTCCTCAGCGTTGCTTGAATGTTACATTTAGAACGCAAATTGAAATATAACTATATGTTCAGTGCCATTTCACAAACATTTTAAGTTGAAAGCTAAACGTAACAACCTCAAATGAAAGAACATTTTACAACGCACTGTCCTTGATTTCCATGTTGAAAATTTCGCACAACTTACTGTTGACAAGATTCACACTTATTTAGATTCGCAGCCACACGCATAGGACTGAAATTTACCTCATACAAATGGTGAACACTTGACATGACTTTAAACGTGACTAGAGTTTCTTTTCCCCATGTATAAACTACTTATTGTTGTCAAACTTTACCATGTACAACGTCCAAAACTTACCGTGTACAACTTGCAACAGTAGTATAACAATCCACAGGGTGGGGAGCGATGCATACATATTAGAAATTAAATGTAAACCCCTCTTAAACAATAACAGGTACTAGTACAGTACCGGTATATATAAAACAAACTGTCGTAAGCGACCTTTGTGAACGTCCTCGAGCAATGTACGAACTATATTTTATGACCAACTCTTCACGATCAGTCTGTAGCATAGAGAGTGCGGCGGCAAAGCCAACGTTCATTGGTAGCAATGTCTCCGGACATAAAAATGCGTGCATATAAAAATCATTTAGATTTTGATGAAATTAGAATACGCTTAGGACTTGTTCATACGCAAAATTATTTCACAGATAATTATAAATGCTGTGTGAAAAGCATTTGCTGAACACACAGAAATTATACATTATATAAAAGTGAGTGAAAATGTCATATTGCCAGAAAAAATCCACATAAACACTTAATTTTTTCTGGCTGAGGGGAATCTCTTAAAATGATCTGGAAAATGGTGTGTTATAAAACAGCGTTTTCATTACATTAATTAATAAGGCAAAGTCGGCATATGCATATTCGTTTTAAGGGTAAAATATCAAAATCCGTCCACTGATTCGCCTCAATAACCATTTATGTTAATGAATTATAGAATATCAAGGTGATTTAAAAATGGAGGTTAGGAGAAACGGAGGCCACTTTATTGGAGGCTGCCCAGGACCAGCATTACCAACTGGGTGTTTAAAGTGGTACTGGCAATTTACGAGTTAAGCCAAAGATAAGGGAGTCGCCAAAGAGTTTTGATTGTTAGAAAGTGGCCGATTTGCGGTCATTTGCTTCTTACATTTTGTAACATAGATGTCTATCTATGTTCTTAATCATAACAGTCTAATACATCGTTAACAGAAGAATCAAAGGTCGCTTTTTTGTACATTAAAAGTAAACATCGGATTATATATATTTCTAAAAGTTGTATTTTCCTCTTTTTAACAATAATTCAAGTATACTAACAACTTAGAATGAAGTCTTAAAATTTCAGCTCTCATTAATAATAGTTTATATCTGTCTAGTGGAAGTAGAATTGTCCAAGAATCCTCCCATAGACTTTTGAAATAAGAAATAGTAGCATCCAACAAATGGTGAATATCAGAGTTTATTATTATTCCTTCGGTTCATTTTTTTTTCTATTTTTATCATAATCTTGTTATTATGTCCATAATTTCCTTAGTGTCATTTATTGAAAGGGATAACAACTGTTTGTAAGATATCCATATTTCACAATAAATACATTGTAAACAACTAATAAAAATATAATAAATTCTATTTTACCATCAAAACAAGCGTTAATGCAATTATTCTGGTATTTGTGCTTGCCATCACATCACGTGACCTCCATAGATAGTTACACATTGTAATAATCTCTTAAGAGAATATTACAAAAAAACCAAACTTTTTAGAAAAAAACAGGGACTAACATTGAATGTGGGAATAGATTCATTTACCATTGGTAAGTATGGGAAAATTGTCCTTTACTACAGGAAAATCCAGTTTTTGGCCAAAATGAACAGTTGTTATCCCTTTAATAGACACAAGTCAGCATTGGGCTCTGCTGTTATATTGTTATCATTATTGTTACTTTTGCTAATATTATATTATCATGATTATTATTTTCATCCTCACTGAAATATCACTTTGCTATTTTATGTGCATCTTGGGATGATAATGTGTTTACTCCACATTTTCTATTTGATGGCTTGGCTTCTGTCTCTATGTTGTTCTCAACTTAGCCAGGACCAAGTTTGCTGACACTGCATCTTCTACAGCCATGCCTAAAATATTTTAAAATATCAATTATTTATGAAGTTCAGCAATGGAAACTGAAAAAGCAATTAAAAAAATATCTACTTGAATTCAAAAACGTTAATTCAAATACTAAAAGCTACGTTTTTGCAAAAACATGTCGATCAAACATTGTCTCACCATTTTAAGTACTACATATACCTTGTTTTGAATGAATAAACACACAATACAGGATGTTATAAACTAGTAAGCTTTGCCATACTAAGACATTGACAAATTTTTGCACAAATGGTGCAACAGACTCGGACAAGTAAAGGATATTCACCAAGTGATTTGAACACTGTGGTTTTCTCACAAAAGGCCTCCTTTGTGCCATTGACTACCTCCCCAACTTCTGCATAAACTTCAGCCTGGAGAGAAACTCTGACAACCTTTATTTTATCCACTTCCATTTTGACATACATAAATGCAGTTAAGGTAACTGAAAACCTTTTATCAATAAAAAACAATAACTAGTATCATTCAAGTAACTGTAATTTTCTGAATGGTATCATACTCTTGGGGGGAGAAAGAATTGAATCTTATAATGTCAATCATTTAACAGATACAAGGCTAGATGCAATTTTACACAAGTAGAAAAAATGCCTTGTAGACAAAATTTAAAAACAGTGTACAGCAGTATAAATAACAAGCTGCTACATCTTATCTGTTTTTGCTCATGTATGTGTGGTATGTGTTGATGGCCCCCTCCTACAGCTTCAAAGATAACCCTTTTTCCCTCCCTTCCCCCCCCCCCCCAAAAAAAGCTAACAAAATAAACAAAACCAAGTAATTTTCATCCCTTTCGCCCTCCATGTTACATTAAAATTGTCATCATCTACTTTTTGTATTTGCTTTACTTTGCTCAGAAAAAATTCAAATCCTTGTCCCCCTTGTTCCCCTGCTCCCTTTAACAAAATCCTGTATTCTCCACTGAAAGACACGGACAACTTTATGTGGATGCTGTTTCACCTCATTATAGCTAAATCATTTACATATAATACTTGTACATACCTTGGAAAGGATTACATCTCCAGATTCTTTCATTGCCCCTTCTCTACTGTCCACATACAATACAGACCCTCGCATCAAGTCAGGGTCAATTTCTTGCCAGTCTGGACGACAAGCACCTACAGCTGGAAGAGACGCAATTTCTTAGATTTTGAGATTAAAGTTTTACTTTGGCAACCGTAAAAGTTGAGATTTTGTTTGAGTGCCTTACGTTTTTCACCATGTTTAAGAATGTCTGCTTAATATAATTTTATTGTTCCATTTTACTACATACCGGTACATTGTATCATCACAATGTACCCCCTAACATAGAATTAACAGTTGTATTCATAAAAGCTCTTTTTTTTTTCAAGGCACTGTAAACATTCAATAAAACCACTAACGTAATACTACCCCAGCATGATCACAATTTATATTTACTGTCACACCTAATGTACTTAAGATTGTTTACCATTCACATGTGCTCCTGGTTTTACCCACTTCGCAAACAACACTGGGACTTTGGAAAATGTAACAGTTACTATGATATCTGCTCTTTTTACAGCTTCCTCTACACTGCTGCATGCCTTAGCTGTGCTACCTATCTCCTGGGAGAGCTTCTCTGCACTTTCCAAAGTTCTACTGTATATGTTTACCTAAATTTGTGTAAAAAAGGCTTATTAAAAAACCAGTAGAAAACATGCCATAATAAAATGCAGTTGGTTCACTCTGTTCTTTATCTGTTAAAATGATTTTAGAATGTCTTTATTCTAAAATTAGGGTCTTTAGCGCTGACAGAGAAAAAAAAAACATTTTGTAAATATTTATCACAAGTACGGTACCTCTGTAAAGTTGAACAATGTTGACAAGGCTTGATGGTGACTCCTGGCTTGGTGCCCTGCCCCAATTATAGCAAGGACTTGTGATTTAGGATTGGCCAAATACTGAAAAGGAAAATGTTTAAATGTAAGTTTTCGTTTTAGTTTTAGAAAAAATCATGATCTAATTTTCTTGCTAGTACATTCCCAACAAGCAAAGCAATGAAATGTGACTGAATTCTCTTTTAGCTAAAACTATTTTCATTATTAAATTTTTTTAAAATTATAATAATAACAGCTGCAATTTACAGTGGATTCTGTGGATTCATGAATGATAAACCAGAAGGAGGAGAAAAGATCAAAATACAACTGTAATTGAATAATTAATTTCAAATATCATATCAGAGAAAAAAAATAATAGGCCTATTGGAAGGACTCTACAATTTGCCCTTGAAATTTAAATGTTTTTCATTATATTTTACATCACATCTCCATTTGTTTATTATTATCATACCTTTGTAGCCACTGCTGAGGCTGCTGCTGTCCTTAGATTTGTAATTACCTCTCCATCCATTATCTGCAATTATCAGTGAGGGCAAAAAATGTAAAGTGAAATAAAGTTGAGGAACAGTAATTTAAAGTTAGCCAATTCATAATGAGCAGACATACAAATTACTTCATTTCTTAATGACATACAGGGGTAAAGGGGTATATGAAAATTGAGATTATTATTATTATTGTGAAATGCAGTGCTCCTTGAAAACACAAGTAAGATTTATTACATGTATGGAACACATTTAAGCAAGACTACTGTAATAACACCTACTGCTTTGAGGCTCCCATTTTCTGGATCAAATACCATCAAAGTTGCCATGTGTGTTGGTAAACCTTTGTCATAGTTAGTTGGATAAAATGCTACCAACTTGGTTGCTAAGACATGTTCGTGAGCAGAGAAGCATGGCATTACTCCAAGAAACCTAATATTTGTTAAATATTGGAGTCTGGTTAGCTTGCAAATTTATGCACCGTAAATGCTATACAGTTGTATTAAGTGAAAATTTGTTGAATTTTAATGCATAATGTTTGAGTTATCAAAATATAAAATAGTGAATTTTTTTTCATCCACACAACATACTGTATCTTTCAAAAAGCTAGAATGAATTATTTCAATACTGTCATATTATACCATTATCATCAGTTTCTGAATATGAGTTATGTTGTAAAATTAATATTCTAATATTACATAATATACTGTGAATACATTACTCAACAAATGACTGCACATTTTTTTGAAACTCAATATTTCAGCTGCCATCTCCCAAGAAATTTGAGAAAAAAATTCTCTTGGGGCAAAAAGAGAAAATACTGATTCCAGTTTTCATTCCAGGTCAATATAAAAGGGATATCCATATTGGGCTTCTGTGAATGCAAATATCAGTGGCTTGACATTGCATAAAAGTACCTGTTGATACTCCCATGAGTTATACATGTACTCACCATAAATTAATTTTTATTGCCACAGTGGTGAGATATTTTATACAGTCATTGTGGTATATCAGTATCATATAGATGTAGCTGATCATGATTTAGGGCCCTGTATTCTTAAAATAATTATCCCTGGCTCTGTATGAATAAGGGTGTAGCAAAAAAATGCATGGATCAATGAATTTGGCTGTAATTTGTATTGTAAAGATGATGTACCCTTGATATTTTGCGACTGGTACAACCGACCGCACGGGTTGGACAATCCCGCCATTATCTCTGTTTGAAAAGTTCCCAAGAGCCCTTTCAATAACTGGGATCAATTCACTAATTTTTAAAATTTCTTCGACCTTATTAGCCGGTATGTATAAGGGAAAACCAGAGTCAAAAGACTGTGTGCCAGGCTGTGTGCTGTCCGCCATTTTAATCAGTCACATGATACGATCTTTTGTGGCAAGAAGTCCTGAAAGATTACTAATGAAAATGGCAAGCGAGCGGGAGAGTGATCCGAAAGTGTTGGTTAGTAAAAGCATTGTCGTGGTTGAAAGTAGGAAAGGAAAACATACCATTCGCTTTGATACTATACCTAACCTTTCTGTTTGATGTCTTGCTTGTAATTCAAAGATAAATTAATGCTAGATAACAAATATAAATTGTAAAACTACCATGTGTGATTCATTTGTGTACTACATGTAGTTTTACAAAATAGTTAAATTGGACTGGTACAACTACGTGTTAATAAAAGTTCATTTTAACTGAATTCAAGTCAGTATACTTTAAAATTGCATTCAAAAGACAATATAAAACGCATATGTGTTCGAATCTGTACGTGAGTCGATTGCTTTTTTTAAACCTTCACTCGTATTTTATTAAATGAGTTTGTTACTTTTTAGCTGGTGCCAGGGAGTGCCTGTAGACATGGTATGAAATTCACCTGGGGCGTAGGGAATCAGCTGTTTGTTTTTGCTGGAACGCCAACATCTGCTGAAGGTATGTCCTAATGATCAAAATACAATGAAAGACATTTACTGTGTGGCCCTTTTCCCAGGAAAGCCATAGCTTGGAAGTTTCATGCAGTAGTTTCTATGATTTCTTACACATTCACTTTTTGTGCATTTGCATGAAAAACAGATTTGCATATGTAAACTGTAAAATGATGACCAGGCAGGTTGCAAGGTTAGTTAGGAGGCGATAAATTAGATTCTTTTTGGCAACAGAAATGGCATTTATCTGTTAAAATGGTCGAAGTAAAAAAGTTCTTTTTAAATCTTCAGCTTTGCCTATTTCATTGATTTAAGTTGCATGTTATATTTCAGATGAAGTTAGTGGCGAAGGTGCTGAGGCAGCATATGTCCATGATGTCAGATGGAACACAGACATGCATGATGTGTACACTAGAAAACTGGTCAATGAGTCAAACAGTGAGTATAAGAAGTTTTCTAAACCATTTCACTGTACATTCACATATATTTCTTTTCCAAACTCAATGAATGAAATTAACATTTTATTTGAAAGTCAGAAGTGTCTATATTTTCATCATTGAAAATTAAAACCTTAAGAAAGTTTTGGAAAAAAATGCTACTATATATCAGCAGTGTTGTTTGAGCCCAAGTTTTGAATCTATGAAGATGAAGACAAAATATATGAAACAGTGGTATATGATTGTCTTTTTTCCAGATATATTCTTAATGCTTCAAAGCCATGAACATGGTATAGAGGGGACAGGAAGAAAGCCACAGTAAGTGTGTATGGGAAATGGCACTAGATAGTAATAGTCTCCTCTGTATTATAGCCAGACTTCTGACCTACTCTTTTATTTTCTATTTTTACAATTTAATGTTTCTGTATTCTTGATGTTTTCATTTTATTCCTAGGCTTGTAAAATTCAGTCGGAACTACAGATCTGTGCTCAAAGCTTGCATAATGGATTTAATCGCTGCAAGAGGTGAGTAACTAGTCAGTTATTGGGTGTTTCTCATGGAGTAAGGTGGGGTAAAGCTACTGTGTGTACCAGGTGCGTCTTGTGGTCCACTACTTAAACATTTAGACTATTTTTGTGGTTACTTTGAATATTGCAATTATATTATGTGCATTAGGTCTGAATTAAGATTCCCTCCTTAAGTGAGAATAGAAGTAATATTGTTTTATATATGCAAAAAAAAAAAAAAAAAAACACTCTCTTTTAGTTTCCTATTTCTGTAATCAAAAAGCCATTAGTGATAATAAAAATATTTTAAAATTTCCTAGATTCTGTAATGGAGGAAGAAGTGAAGAAATACTACCACAGTCAAATGGAGCTTTTCCAAATGATAGAACTCATCTGGAGTCTGTGTGAAATCCTGTTCATAGAGACCCTGCCTGGTAAAGATACTAATTTGAAAAGTTTTAGGAAAAACTAATGCAAATAAATAAAATGATATTAGCTTGGGCCAGTTAAAGAATCATTTGCTTTTTTTAAAAATAGAAAGAAACATTGAGACCACTTGTAAGATGTATTGAGCATCATTCTGCTAATGGCATTATATTTCATACTTTTTAAAAAAAATATTTATATTTCAAATCTGCTTTTACATTAAGGATTATAATGATGATCTTGGGACGTGTCATAGGCAACCTGTGAAAATCAGTGGCTGTTTTGACTGTATATCAGAATTTTAGAGGTTTAGGAAGAGAGAATTAAGGGAAAAAAGATTTGAAGTCTGGACTATTTCAATATATTACCTACCCATGTTATGGTTATTAGTGTTTTGTTAGTATGACATATTTTGCATTATCTTCAGGTGGTATTTTACTGGTCAAATTGCTTGATTGGTTGAAGTGGCACTTCAATGAAGGGGAGAAAAAAGCTAGAGATGTACTTAGAGAAGACACACCTGAAGAGAACCCAGAATACTGGGAGGCTGTGAGTTAAACATATTATAGAATATACATTGTGTTCAGAAGGAGGGTGATTGGAACTCAAATGATGAAAGTTTTCTTACTGTAAGTGATGTTATGCTAAATATGTTTCTGTGTTTGTTGAGAGGGATAAACTGACTCAAGTTGAGAGATTTTTCTTTAGTAAAAGTATAAAACCTGGATAACTTGTTCCTTGCTTATTAATCTGTACAACCATTTCTTTCACTCTAGGTCTACTGCTACGTCCTCCAAGGTCGCATAGAGGAAGCCCGGAACATGTTGTCCTTGCACTCGCTCAGGCAAACAGATGCGTATGAGAGCATGGATGAGCTGTTACGCAAGATGCCATGCTTTACAGTGAGTTAAGATTGGCCATATTTTACATCTGATTATGATAATGTGTAGTTTCCAAATTGAAAAAAGGTTGGTACTAGTACATGCATTGGTAACATAGGTATAGAATAAGATTAGATCATTTGTCAAAACATTTTTGAGAAGAACCTTAGAGGTTGTTTTTTTCATAGAAAAGGTGCATCTTTCAGTTGAAAGATGCCCAAATATTTCTGACAGCGAGATCACGAATATCTCTCTATACATTTTAAACATGAAAACACATGTATTGTTCCTAGTACTTTACTGGACAGTCCACAGCAGAGTTTGACATGAAGTGGAGACACTGGCAAGAAGAAAGTGTCAGAAGGTTGGAAGACGGAGAATTCAGAAACCATAAAAATTTGGAAACCATTTGCAAGGTGGGTACTGGGATATCGCATGGTTATCAAGATCTGATTGGAATCTTTAACTAAAAATTAGGGTGTTTTATGTATGTAGACCCTTAAAATATTTTCTGCAATCAAAATTTATTAGTGTTCAGTAAAATTTCATAACCCAGGCAAGAGATATTGTATTTTAAGAAGAAATTAATTACTGTATACAAATTTTGAACTCCTCCATGTGGGTGTTCATATTTATCTCCTTCAATAAGAAATTTATAATATGTGTAACTGTAAGGTGCGATATACTTATTACTAAATATTACTTTTAGGACCAATTAAGTTATTTATATCATTGCTTTAGACACTAACACAGAGGCTGGCTGTACTCGGACATATGTTTGTGTTAAAATATGGGTACATTTGAGGTACAGCATAAAATTATATAAATCACATAAGGGGTGAAACATTCACGTGGAATGTGTATTCCTTGGACATTTTTCACTTTTTAAATAAGTTATTACTTTTTATTATTGTTCTCTGTATTTAACCAGATTCTAATTGGGGATGACCAAGTATTTATACAGCTGAAAGACCTCTGTGAGTGCTGGTATCACATGATGGTCTCCAAGCTTCTCTACCAGAACCCGACTGTAAAGGCATTTGATCTCCAATATCACACACAGGTAAGGAATACTGTGAAAGGTTTGATTTCCCTCATTGCATTAATTAGATGTACCATTAAGTGTTTTAATGTATTGCCTAATAACAGAATTTCTTATTTAAATATTTGGAGGCCTGGATTTAGTTGAAATTGTTGATTATTTCCCTCTAAAATAACTCTGTACTGAAGGTTTCATCAAAACAAACCAATCCAGAGGAAAACATATCTCCTTGGTCAGTGGAGGCAATAATTGCATTTATTTGGTAGAAGATTGGTTTTTAACTTAACTTCAACCAGAAATTAATACTTCTTAATCTGTATCTTAATAAGTATCATGCCTGTTGAAAACCAATTCATTTCTAGACATTTTCAATTCCATGATGTAATGCTGTGTATTTCAGTCCTGTATTGATGCCTATGGGGGCAACAGCAAAGTGGATCCCTTGGAGAATATCCTACTGGCTGCCATAGAGTTTGACATTCACCAGGTCATCAAAGAAAGCAGGTTTGGAGCTTACAGCTTTTATATCTGTAGATAAGTACAGGAATTGTAATCCTAGGAATGGAAATCCGTGGTCCCATTTGATTTGTACAGGTTAGGGTTAGTTGGAGTATTGGGATAAGCTTATGGAACAAATGTCACCTGTACAAAGTAATGGGGGAAGAAGACTAGGGTTCCTAGTGCCTTAGCTTCCATTCCTGTCACACCAGCATTGGAATGGACCTGCCATAAAATAAACTATGAGGAATGCAGTGTTTGATATTTAAGATTATGAACAACCATTATGCTTATGGTGCAGGACTGTCTGTTTGTAAGGTGATGATTAAGATTAGATTAGAATTGATGCACTTTGGTCATATCAGAAGGCTCTTAATATATTGATGTTGTCTTTGGTTTGATTTCAGTTCTTATTTAAGCAACTGGTGGTTTGTGTCTCATCTCACTGATCTTCTGCATCACTGTGGACAGCTGGAGGCACACAAACTCAAGTGAGTAACCTATCATATCCAACTCCAGTCTGTGCCAAAAATCATTAGCTTGTTGATCCTTGGAGACACCAGGATGTAAGAATATACTAGCCCAAAGCAGAAATAAGGCCTAGTAACTGAACACATTGACAATTTTTAATGGCCCTTCTTCAGTTTTGCAGGCATTTGATGTGGTACCTGTTTCTGTGACATACTGCCTTGCCCCATGCTGAGTTTAGCACATATCGTATAAAGCACAGTATCAAGCTTGATATGCACTCCTACTATAATATCTAACTTAATGTACAATGTATGTCACATATAACACAATGGCTTCTAACCTTTGTGTTTCAGTACACAGTTACAAGCACCAGCTCAAGTCCATAAGACTGCAAGACCTCAAACAACAGCAAAAATAAAATAACACATTGTCAACTTTTGTTTTACGGGTACCAACAGTCATATACCCTTATTATGATATATGACAATTGCCAAATAGCTGTTTTAATGCTTCTCTCTTTCTATGCCTGATTATATATGGTGTAGCTGTGAAAAAAAATTCTAAAGATACAGTTAAATTATGTTATTTTCTAGCTTTGGGTCAAACTTGAGGGAGTATTTATTGCTGGAATATGCCTCTGGTCTGATGTCACATGAAAGGTTGGTGCTCTGCCTTCATCTCAGTAGCTTGTTTTACTACTTATTTCAATCAGTCTTTAAATTTCGCTTTTTTTTTTTTTTTTCATTATTAAATTGCATATTGCAACAAAAATTGCAGCAATATTGCTTCAAACTAAAAGTTTAGTTTGTAGCAACAACTTACAAGTTTGCAGGAGTATGCGAGAAAAATTTTATTGCAGCCACACTGCAGTAAATTTGCTGCAAATTCACTGCGAATTTGCAACAGGCCTGATATTTTGCCAAAGGAGTTCATTATAACATTTTCATAATTTATTCATGTATTATGTTAATAAATTCATAATTAGTTCTAAACAGTTAACTTTCACAGAGTTAAACAATTAAAGAGGCATTTTTCAACCCACATGTTTTTAATTTTCATTTCAGTCTCTGGCAGGTTGGAATTCCCTATCTTGATCACTGTCCAGAGTTTGGAAGGTAAGGAAGCATACAATAAACAGGGTCAGTAGGAATATTGGCAGTGTTTTGTCACAGATGTTTTTTTCCAGATTGTGTGTCATTTATTGCATTTTCCATTTGTTGCTAACTTAAAGTTCATAAACCAAGCTTTGTGTTTTGTTCAATCTGTTGACTTACATAAGTTATTTGACCTTTGAATATATATATATATATATATATAAATATATATATATATACATATATACATATATAATATTTGATTAAATTTCTTTGATCTTTTAATATTCTTTGATTGAATTAATAATTATTTTCAGGCAATATTTAGAGCAGTACATTGAACATATTCCACTTAGTTCAGAAAGGAAAGCTCATAAAGTACTTCGTATATGTGAACAGAGAGACATGCATGACCAAGGTAATACTATCATCAATTGTTAATGTAACACAGTGGCTTTCATGCTTTAAAGGTGTTATATAGCCCTGTGTTTCTCTCTGAGGAAAGATTTATATTAGTTAAATTGTGTCCCACAAGTTTTTCTTTAATGTAAAAAAAAATCAAATAGTTGTGTGTTATATTAAAAAAAAACTAAAAAAATTTCACCATTGAAATGAAATGGTCAAACTGCTGTTATTCATATCGAGCATACACAAATTAACAAAGAAAAGTTTTGTTTTTGGAAAGGCATGGTAAACAGATAGGCATTTGCTTCATGTAACTGATTTGTAAGAAATTTACCATATGGATTGACAATATATTTGTTGCTGGATAGAATATCACACATGTTAACAGAGAAAGCAAAGTTAAGGCATGCCAAACTTCTTTTCAGAAATTGTATTATGTTGAACTCTGCTAAACCTCATTGAGACTTAATACAAAAGTCCTGGACTTTGGGCACATATTATCCACACTTACATTAAACATAATGAAATTAAACATTTGTTATAACAATATTTCAACTTCTTTTGTTTTTATGTTTTAGCTAACAGTATTTGTAAAGTGATGGGAATGAAGGCACTGCACAATGACAGACTGGGATCAGCCTTGTCTTGGTGCCTCAAGTCAAAGGATGTCACTTTCGCCACCTACCTTGCTGAACAGTAAGCCTGTATTTAAATCTTGGCAACAAGTTACAAGGAGTTGTTGAATGGGATGTAAATTTGCTGAGAATCATTAATTGCGTTATAGTTACTACCATGATCATTATACTATTGCACTGGAATGTCTTCATTATTTTGTCTTTAGTGTATATGCAGTTTTTTTTTTATTTCATTTTGTATCACATTTCTTTATCAGCACACCATATATTATTAAAGCTACTTAAAGTTACTAACAACTTGCACCCCTCTAAGAATTAATGAATAAAATCTGTTTGATGTGCATGAAATCTGTGCAGGTATTCTACAAATCTGGTTTGGACTCTACATAAAAAAACTGTGCATTTAAATGTCAAAGTTTTATATGTGATTGTTTTCACTTTGCAATCAGGTGATGATTTAACACTTCTCTTTATTTATGTGAATTTCCAGGTTCCTCACCAGGTACAGGGCAACAGGTGACTTCAGTAACCTTGACCTTCTAGATAACCTGGGACAAGCCATGCTCTTAAGTGACAGACTAACATTCCTTGGTAAACTTTATTTCTTACTTATTAAGAGGACAGATTCCAAAGTGAAACAAATTAATTTAGAAGTATTTTAAATATTTTAAGAATTTGTTTTTAAAAAAGTAAATAACATGAACCAAAAATGAAATTGTTTTGGCATTCTCAAGGCTTTGTTTTTCCATTGTATTATTATTGTAACGGTTAGTTATTGAAATACATGTTTTAATGAAATTAGTTGTTACATATGTCACAGATTTTTAATCTGGTAACTATTGTGAAATTTACTCCTTACACTGTATAATCTAAAACTATAACTACAGGAAAATATAGAGAATTTCACAAGTTATATGAAGATGGGGACTTTGAAGCAGCAACTTCACTCCTGCTGTCTCTACTGACTGCAAGACTTGCACCAAAAAAGTAAGAAAGTAGACAAATCTTTATGTATGATTCCTGTTGTCACAATTGCAAAATACAACTGGTTTATATTTCAAATGAATTGGCAAATGAAAAAAAAAATAGTAATAAGCAAAAGAAAATAGATTAAGAAATTGTAATTTATATTAGCATTATGCATGGGTGAAAGTTTTCAGGATTATGCCCGATTTCAGGATTTTCAGTCTTCATGAAGATTTTATTTCATGTGATCTAAATGCAATGAGGTATTGCAAGCTATGTTTTCAGGAATTTCAGTTTTTACAACTTTCACCCTTGCTTATGTATTCCCATCTATGAGCCACAACTCAAGTCTTTGGTATTGTAATCTTATTTTCTAGATTTTGGCTGACACTCCTCACTGATGCATTGCCACTGTTAGAAGCAGACGAGGTAATGCTAATGTTGGATATAATTTTTACTTCACTTATTAAAAGAATTTATTTAAAAATTCTTTTGAAATCTTTGTCTGATGAAAGTGATGCTGTATTCTTAAAAAGGAGATGTTATTATTTATTTTATTTATTTATTTTTATTATTATTATTATTTTTTTTTTTTGCTTACTCATTCCTGTATTGTGCAAGTGGTCTGTGCCCTGTATGTAAAAAAAGTGTCCTCCTATTGATGCAATAAGTTGTATATTCAGGTTGTCTTCACTAGTCAACAGACCTATGAATTAATGCACTGCTTGGAAGAGTTAAGTTTGGCTGAAAAATTGGAAGCAGAAGAGAAAACAGACCAACTAGTGGGTGATCACAAGGTGAGCATTTGAGACCTGCAGTAATGCATCGTGTAACAAAAAGGTCCATAATGTGATTTCTTAAAAACAGCATGCAGAGTTTTCTTACCTTGAAAATGTTGTGGTGTGGATGAATTGATATCACTCTCAACAGATTTATTTCAAAAACATGCTTTGAACCTCAAATGAATTCACCACTTAGTTCTTCTCATTTTGTAAATATTTTATGCATTATTACTTGTATTTACTTATATTATCCTTTTTATTTAGGGGTTTTCTGATGCAGAGTTGGAAAAGATGAGTTTGATCAAACTGGCACTGACTAGGAACCTTGCCCGGGCTATAGTACATGAAGGGACAGTGCTGACCTGACACACTAGCCAGAATTAATATTTGTAAATTGGGATAATTACCATGAGCACAGAACTCCACCAAGGAAAAAGGCCATTACTAGCAATAAGATATAGGAGACAAGGCTTCAGAATTACCTGAATAACTGTTCATCTTAATTAAAATGTTATTTAAATTTGTAATGGCATAGCTTGTCCACTAACAAACAGACAAACTAACACTGGGGAAAACATAATCTTCATTTGCAGAAACAACTGAGTGTTTTTGTGGACAGAAGTGTTCAATTGTCTAACAAGGACAAATAAAAAATCCTGCCGTTGACACTGTGGAGTCATATAGTAACTTATACAATTTGTGCACATAAATAGCCTTGAATGTGTCAGTTCTTCAAAACACACAGGTGATTGCAACACAAGTGTGTTTTGGGGGGACAAAAACAAAAGTATAAAGTACTATTTTTGGGAAATGTTTGTGAAAAGGTTTGCTAATGTAAGAGGAATCAATAGTACAAAAAACGTGCTATCTGATCACGCTATTATGGTTAATGATAAAAAATACTGAAGGTAGTTTAATTATTTTGGAATAAAACAAACCAATAATCATTATACTTATAATGGCCTTTTTATCTGAAATATGTGCCCTAACTTCTTTACACAAACTGAGCTGAATGCAGCTTGCAACCCACAGGCAAACTGACTGGATAGTTTGTTTTTCCATTCAAGCAAAGGACCTTTCACAGATACTCGTATTAAAATTATTTTCCAAGTTGAGTGAATTAAAAAGACAACAAATATAAGTTTAAGTAAATACCATTTTCATAATTATTGATAAAACATCCAATGAAAGTTCCACCAAAATGCTGTGATGAATATACAGACTCTTCTCAAAGTCCTGTTTTATTTATTTATTATCCTTGCACTCCTCGCCTATTAGTGAAGAAGTTCCAACTTTGGTTATTGTCATGGGGAATGCACATGGGACTGTCAGAGCTTTAGTGCAACTGGAGGTTGGGGTTTCCCTGGAGGGATGGTTCTCTTTTACATTTTAATGCATTAAAAAGCACTTTTTCATGTTAACATTTTTATGCTGTTATAAGGAAGATTATTTGCAATAATTACATATACATCTGCAACCTAAGCATTGTCATTGATAACTATGGGACGGGGTGCCCGAGGGTAAGCTACTCTTTACAATATGTGGAAGTGCATCCAGGGATATGCAATGACTACCCAACAACACCAATTTTTTTTTTTTTTTTTTTTTNAAAGTCCTGTTTTATTTATTTATTATCCTTGCACTCCTCACCTATTAGTGAGGAAGTTCCAACTTTGGTTATTGTCATGGGGAATGCACATGGGACTGTCAGAGCTTTAGTGCTACTGGAGGTTAGGGTTTCCTTGGAGGGATGATTCTCTTTTACATTTTAATGCATTAAAAAGCACTTTTTCATGTTAACTTTTTTATGCTGTTATAAGGAAGATTATTTGCAATAATTACATATACATCTGCAACCCAAGCATTGTCATTGATAACTATGGGACGGGGTGCCCGAGGGTAAGCTACTCTTTACAATATGGGGAAGTGCATCCAGGGATATGCAATGACTACCCAACAACACCAATTTTTTTTTTGTCAAATTTAACAACTTGGATATTTATAGCCAACTCGTACCATTATCAGCCTTCTTGTGTGATCACAGTTTTTTCACTTTTAATGAAGATTTAATGTTAAAAAAAATAGTAACCCTTTAGTCATTGAATTCTAAGCAATCACAAAGCATCCTATATTAATTTCAAAATTGCCACCATGCCCTTCACACTACATCCAGCCACTAGGAGTACATGACCCTCTCAGTGTCTGTATCTTCATGGGAAACTTTGTGGCTGCTCCTCAGAGTAAACTGTGACCATATTGCCAGCTGTATAGTCCCTACAACCAGGGGAATAAAGCACAGCAAATAAAACATGGTTCCCTGTAAACTGTCCAGCAGTAGGCCATCTGTAAGTTGACCAAGTTTGTATTGCTCATAGCCGTACCTGTTAAGTATGGTCACTACTATCATGGGGGACACAGAAATGGCTGGTTTGACAACCAGAGCATTGGTCCCATACACAGATGTAGAAATTGGATGCCTGGAATGAATTTGAAATTATTTTTGTGATATTGTATAAAAAGGGCCTGCTTGCTACACCTGCATTTGCTTGATTTTTTCTCTTTTTCTTTCTTTCTTTTTCCTTAATTCTTTCATTTTATCTTTTTCTTTCATTTTTTGAGAATGTTTGGTAACCCAAATTTATATCATCTGTCTACTACTTTAAAGGTGTTGATTTTAATTTAAAAAAAAAACAATCTTTAATTGTTACTAAAACAAGAAATAGTCTAATCTAAAACTTACGGTCTTGAATATAATTTCTTGTCAGCATCTGCAATATCTGACAGAGGAATGTTGGACAGCGCAAATGCTGCATTCGTGGCACAGCTGAAAGTAAACCATTTTACTGATAAAATTACAATGTTACTCCCCCCCCCCTTTTTTTTACTTGGGGGTGGGGAGGTCATGCCTGAATATCAAAAACTTGTAAGATTAATTAGTACTTGCTCAAAAGTACTCAAATGATCCTTGTATTACTGAGAGAGAGAGAGAGAGAGAGATCTAAGGGTGCTTTCCCAGAGATTTAGATCGATCTAAAGATTAAGTTTTAGATCGACCTAATTCCCTGGGGGTTCAGGCTAAATTGCAGTCAGCCGAGCGGACACCATAGTTAATTACCCCCTTACAGCTTTTAGTAGGCGGGACAGACGCTTAAGCCGGCCAAGCTGACAGTAATCTAGTGAGACTCCCCACAGGGATAGATCGATCTAAAAATCTATGGAAATGGGGTGTAACAGTCATGCATTCAAACTCACAAGTCCACTGTCATGAAGAGTATCAACAGCAGGGGTTGGTTTCTTCCAATAAGAAGCATGATCACAGATGAGAAGATCTTGATAATGAAGTTGCTCCTGATCATGGCGAAGGCTCCATACTTACTGACCAGGAAGGTACCAGATACCACGAGCAACTGGAAATAAATCTTGCTAAAAACATGATGATTTCAACAGAGAGGAAAAATTAAGCTTTCAGCCAGTATCAGCGTCATGAAATTACATAGTTATTACGTTTTCTAATAATTCATGCAAGTCATGTGGAATGAATATCCAAAATGTTCTTCAGTGACCAAGGGGTGCAACCATTTCAAAAATAAAAAAAATAAATTAATAAATAAATAAACAAATAAATAATAATAATAATTATAGATTAAAAGATACTAGTAAATTATAGGCTATCATATTACGATCTGCAGCATTTCCGAACCTCTTTCACAGGGTAATTTTATTCAAAACAGTTCAAAATAGAAATTTAGACCTCAAAATAATGTTTACTGATTGTTATTTTATTCTCAACAGAAATAATATCCTCCAGTTGGTGACTAAGGGAAAATTGTTGATATATTTCTAATCACATAAAATTTTAACTGTATAAAAGTGTAATACACATTGTATGCCTATTATATAAGGTCAACTTACTGGAGTGAGTACATTTCTCATACTGTAAAATACACTTTTGTGGAATGTGGGTAAAACCTCTGGTGAGAACAGCGTATCAGTGATGATAGCAGTGAAGCCATTCATGAAGGCTCTGTGAAACTCCTGGCAGAAATTCATGGCAACAAAGCAAAGAAAATTCTTCTGAGTCAGTAACTGCCATGCTTGTCGCATAAATGAGTACTGGCTGACGGGGCGGGACTTCTCTGGCTTCCCAGCAACCACTTGCCGTAGTTCATACTCTGTGTGTGCATATGTGCCTGTGATATAGAAACATACCATCGCCAAGCATGCCAAAACCACTGCGAACTTCTGAAAACTTGGAATGTCATTCAGATTATCTGATATCATGTTTGTAGCAAACAATGTTCCAGAGTTCAGAACAGATGCTATTTTTGCATATCTTACAAGGCGAAGACGGTCATCGTGCCTTCCTGACATCTCTGTGAAAATTGCACATTGGGCCAAAAGTACAAATGTAAATAAAGTATCAAAGAGACAGAGACTGAACAGCAAATGTGCGCCACACAGCCAAGACCCAGATTCGTAATTACCCCATGGAAACCAGGGTACCAAAAAAGCCAAGCAGTAGAATGGCCCTCCAAAGAGGACTGCATATCTCCGCTTCCTCAGCCATTCCGCACGGTCTTGGATGTACCCGAAGAGTGGATCATTGATGGCATTCCATACCATGAAGATAGCTTGCGCTGTGTTGAACCAGCTCTCCGAGACTTGATACCTATTCAGGAAGAACTTAACCAGGTAGAATGAAAAGACCTGGTTTATCATGCCTGAACCAAAAGAAGTGGCTGCATAAGCGGCTGATGGCCAGTGGATTCCCAGTGCCATATCATGCAGTGTGGTCTGTGCCTGGTGAGCAGGAACTTAATCAATAAGATTGAATGTCTCAGTTCATGGAAAGAAATCTGAAAAAAAAGGCAACTCCATAAGTAATTTAGGGAATGGAAATGTTTTCGTCTTCACTGGGGTTTTATCAATTATGCCTAAAACACTTTATACTCGAGTAGTAGAAGATCTGTTTCTTAACCTACTTTCAAATAATTCAATATACTTCACTGGGTTAACAGCATCATTCCAACTGTGCTCAATGAAGTGTATCAGTCTCTTCAGTAGTTACTATACTATACTATACTCCTGTTTTTTTTTTATGGCTCGTCTCAGACTTTTTGATCTGTACATCTCTCTATTTTAGTTTATATACCAGATTAGATATATTCCCTCCATTTATGTCCAACCATGAAGAACAATCAAACAGCTAATTTTCAAATTCTATTCAATTTGCAATAAAAAATTATGAACGCATAAAGAACTTCCACCTAATTCCAGTTGACATTCAACCTGAAAGAGGCTGCAAATTGAGCCAGTGGATTCCCTATAGTGTCAAATATTGTATTTTATGTGACATAATGAAAATCTGGCTGGGGAGTCACCTTTTAGGGGAGTCAGTTTTTTGTGGTACACTGTTGTTTTCAAAGGCTGGCAACTTCATAACCTGGCTTTATAACCTTTGTTAGAGTGACTTAATTGAATCCCCTGCAGTAGACACGCCCAGTTTAATATCAGCACCAATTAATAATTTTTAACGAAACAAAAGGGAGTGGACTTGTGGAGAGCTTGTGGAGAAAGAGATTTAAGTCCACTTAGCAAAATTGCATGGTAGAACATCTCCAAATACTTCTACATTCCGCTAGGTTATAATGCTTGATATGTTAAGGTCTTATGACTTTAACAATATTAATTCTCATGTTCTCAAATGTTTGACTTTAAATGCACACTTACATGTACTTGAACCCTATATTGCTCTCATATAAATAAGTAATTCTTACTATAAGTTAATCGTGTTCCAGTCCTACACGAGATAATATATATATGTATAAGTATGTTGGTGATTACATATACAAACCTAGCTGTTACAGGAACTGCAGCTACAGTGTATGCATTTGGGTCAAACTTTAACAGGTTATTTGCTCAGGGCAATATAAGGCATATATAGACGTATTTTTTTATCAATACAGCATAGTGTACTTCCTGTTAAAGTATAAGGCTGAACATTTAAATAATGGAATACTACTACAGTCTAGTTCCTGCCAATAAGTTAATTCCTGGGGGAAATGTATATATACCCTTTTCAATGCATCTCCCGAATATCACACCCTCGATCTTCAAGTTTCGGGTCATCCACAGGAGGCAGATCTACATGTACCTGTAAAGCATGTTACATATTTCTATTAAATTGAACTGACAGTGTTCAATCAACACAAGCAAGCTGAACCAAAATATACTCATATTTTGTAAAAAAAAATAAATAAATAAAAGTTAAAAAGGATGAAATTTTGAGTTCAGTTTAACACCAAAGACAGTAGAGTCCAAACACAGTACATGTAATCTGTTATACAGTATGTGTTCACTGACACCACCAATCAATAGCAAATTAGTAGCTCTTGTTTTATGACACAACCTTCAGAATCCCCCCTTCTCTCGATCAGTTTAGCCCCAAGTTAATTTCTTACCGTGATAACATCTAGCAGTTCTCCACTGAGGGTCTCTGCCCATTTCTAAAGTTCTACTCTTTCATGCATGCACCTTTCGGATTGTCTATTTCCAAAGCGCTAAGTACTGCAGACATAAGCCGCGACCTCGTTTGACCCGCAAGAGTTCAACTGTCTGACACGCAGAGCTAGGGAATATTAAATCGGGTAGATAAATAAAAGCTTATTGACCGCTCGCTCCATGACCTTGGCTGGCTAAAACAATAGTAAATGCATAATGAAAAAAATTATTGTTATTACAAATACTAGTAGTCCATAAGCATTTCAAAATTACACGAAATGGACATGCCGGACATAGGTTTTAACTACTTTTAAATAACTTTCAAATTTAGCGTCAACTCTCCTATGCAGTGGCGGATTTAAGGGGTGGGGGGGGGGGGGGGTCCTGAAGGACACATTTCAGAAGGGCTCTTTCCCCAGTTACTAAAACATCTACATAAAAGAGTATATACTTATATCCAATATAAAGTTTACCCAGACAACTTTGATAAATGATGACCGATACTATCAAAATACATTTAGGGATGATGTTTGTGAGTAACAAAATAAAATACACTGTATGGCTAAATGTTTCTTGTAAAGAATACTGATGGCTAGTGTCACGTTGGCATTGACTTGATCTTACTGATTACGCGAGGTAAAAACTAAACAACTTGTTCCTTCATATTCTTTATTGTCACTTGCCAACTACTCTATCTACATTTTCTTCTTGAAACTTCTAGTACAACCTGTCGGCACAACCTGTACTGTGTACCACACTAGTACTTACTGTATTGTTTAAAAAGTCTATACACAACCGATTATATATAGATATATGCTGGTACATGAAGGGAATATGGATTAATCGATCTTTTTTGTACGATAAAAACTGTTCTCAGCCTCTTTTTCTATAACAATAGGTCTACATATTTTGATTTCTACGGCAGCAATTAAATGACATGTAAAAGTAAAATGGAAAAGCGCTACAACGACTTTTTCGATAAATCACAAGAAAAAAGTCATTATAAAGGGCGGCATTTCTTTTTCAAGTGGCACAGAAAGTTGTAATTACTAGTAAGATATTAAGAGTTTTTACATTTTTCTTTTTCACTGGGAATTAAAATGTTGCCGTTGAAAAGCAAGTCTCAGTAAGGAGAAAAGTTTGTCTTCATTTTATTTTTGTTCGATATGGCACATTGCATTGAATGATTCCGTTAATTTTTCGTCGACGTCTCTGGCATAATTTATTGGGACACTAAGATTCGACAAAAACATGTTTTGTACGAGATCGTAATTGAAAAAATCCTGAAAATAAAGTCGGTTGTTAGTTTTGATATAGGTCAGCGTTATATTTGGAAGGCTGTTGTTGACGGGTCTTTGTCATACAAAAAAAAAACAAAAACATAATCTAAATGGGTTATCTAGCGACAACGCTGATATTTAGAACTATATCACGCATTATATACTCTAAGTATAAGTACTCTAAGTTTATAAACTCATCTTGAACAAGCCATGAAAATGTTAATATTGTTAAATTTCATTATTATTTACCTATAACTCATTGTTCTCAGTGCTGCTTTCGCCCATTAAAACTGAACAGCCGTTCCTCTTTTTTTTTAAATATGACAGTTGTGTAGATATGATGTTTTATTGTTAATAATAAAAAAGAGAAGACCAATATATATATATATATATA